ACGGTCTAAATCGTTTCAGTATTATTTTTTTTAACATTTTCGAAAATGATTCACATTCATCAAACTTTATCGTCACATTTCAAATAAAATATCGAGTCATATTGAATTTTTAAGACTGCCGGTCTATTCATTTTTATATAACAGGGGCTTAACAAATGTAAATTCCATCTTGCAACATTTTGCATTTAAATAATACGGAATGTTTGTTTTAATGAACTGGCACCATTTTTAAAAAAATAAATATCAGAAGTCACCTATTGAGATCCCTTACCTATTTCATCAACATTCCAAATGACACGATGTCCATTTAACATTGCTCATAAGGTCTATATGCAAAAGACCGATCATAAACGATTGTTGAACGTAAAGTGTACAGTGTACGAAGTAACTAAAACAATAATTCGTTAACAATTTTGACATCCACCCCTTTATTTGTTTAAAAAATTTTAACAATTTAAAAATTTAACCAACCTTTATAAAATTTCCATTTTTTGGTCATTTGTGTTTAAATATGAAACAATGAAATGCAATTTTTGAAATTTTCATTTTTTCCCAATGAAATTTTTTAAAATTTAACCACTTAAACGGGTTTATTACCCTTTTAGTCGTTGACATAATTTGGGAAGAAAATAATTTAAAAAATTGTAATTATTTTTCCCTTGTCATTTTAAAAGTTTAAAAATTTACAACTTTTTATTTTCCTTTGATTTGGGTTTTTAAGGTTTTGCTGTAAAATACAAGTAAATTTTTTTTATTTCGGGGATTTTAAATTTCATCAATCTTATTTGAACAAATTAAAACTCAAAAAACTTTAAAAAGAACCAAATTTTAAAATTGTTTTATTTTTATTTCATAAAAAACTGTCTTATCAAACCAGGTATTTTCTCTCATTTATTTTTTTTCTTTGAAAATAAGCGTAAATAAGGAATTTGATAATATACGCTTTGTGATGGTTTTTTTTGTCAGTGTATATATTTGTACTTGATTTATTTTATTTGTTAGCCACTCAAAAAACAACAACAAAAAACAAATTATTATCACAATAAACAACTGATTAATCATTGTTGTACACCAAATAGCCACAAGTTAGCTGTTATTGAAGTCATCTTATATTTCGAGTATTCATATCAATTAAATAGGAATACAAAGGTGTTTACACTAAAGAAAGGTTAAAAAGCGACTAAAGGAAACATTAAATGTAATGTCGGTAACTTACCCAGTTACAACCGAAATATGCCTGAATTAACAATAACAGTCTGAAATATTGTTTGAAAACAATATACCTCGACTATCCGACTTTCTTTTATTATTATACCATACTGATTATTTGTTTGTTTGATTCGACGGTGCACCGACACAAGTTAGGTCATATTGCACCGGAACAGGAATAATTATTTTGGCTAACCTCTGGTGTTACAAACTTAAACAACACCCTTAAAAATTTCACATGCTGGGTAAAAAGGGTACAAATTTAGAAAATGAACCCCTTGTTTGTCCTAATGAAGGTTCCTCCCCAAAAAGTATAAGTCAAAAAACACACTTATTAGGTAAATTCCCCAAAAAAGGGTTTAATTAATAGGGCCATTGTATCTTAAAAAATTAAACTTTTGTTTCGATTTTTAATGAAAAACCTTTTTAAACATACAAAAAAAAAAACCTTCGAAGAAAATCAACTATTTTCCCAAAAATAAATAAAACCAAATTTAAAAAGAAAAAGCATTGGAATTTTAAAAAAGTTTACCAAAAGAGCCCCTTTATCAAATAAAACAAAAAATTCATATTGTTTGTATTTTTTTTTTGTAAGGTGGGTTTTTATATTTTCTATTTGAAACATAAATTTGCATTGGCGGTTTACCATTTAATGTGAATTGATGAACAAATTGAATATCAGATCCTGACATTATCTAAAGTGGTTTGACACCCGTTCACAACTTTGATACAGTAGATAAGCTTCTTTTTTCATACAGTTGAATGCACGATTTAATAAATGGGAGTAGGTGATTTTTTTTGCTTGCATTTGACAATAGACAATTTGCAGACTTGCATATTAAATAGATTTGTGAATAATGAGCTGAAATGATTAATATACAAATGTCTAATATGAGAGATATTTTCTATTTTGGACTTGTTTTTGAGAAGCATGATACAAATCTTAGTTTTCTAAAAACAAAAAAGTGAAAACGTTTTACACAAAACACCAGAGATAGGGATCGCATGCATTTTAAAATAATTTCGTGTTTGTTTTCTCAAATCTATTTAAAAAAAACTCAAAATATTATAAGCAACATGATTATCACGTTTGTGTATCAAGGGCAAACGTTTTCAAAAATATCAAAAGTTAGCAAGGAGGTCTTTATACACTGCTAATTATTTTCATAAGTATTGCCCCTTGTTGCAATAAGTTGACATAGGATTAATTGATCTTGCATATGTAAATTTAGCCTATGGGTTTTTGTTCACATCCTAAAAGCATTGTCAAGTTTCAAAGGCTAGATTTTTGGCAACGAATAGCCTCCATGAAACAGGAGCAATTAAAGATGTTAAAAATCAAACATTTCTCATTTGTATAGTCAATAATGCTACTACAATTGCATTACGTATATTTATCCCCCAGAAGAACTGATTAGATATAGGCCTACCATGTATGCTTTATGTAATTAATATAAACGAGCTCTAGATACGATTTAATAAATAATTGTAATACATAACAACACTGAAAGACCTATCCCAAAGATAAATCAGACCTATCCCAAAGATAAACTAAAACTTAATGTCAAGAAGACGATAATAATGACACCGAGACATTGGACACTTAAGACAGTTTGCATAATACAGAAGCAATTTTATCCCAAATTAAATCTATCCGTATTAGTTCTGCTAATTTAATTCCGTCTGGTGAACGCTGTTAAATTTGATCAGTTTTCATATTTGAAACATCATTTGCAATGGCGGTTTACGATTTAATCTGAATTGATGAACATATTGAATATCAGATCCTGACATTATCTTAAGTGGTTTTACTACCGATAAGAACTTTGATACAGTGGCAATCTATTTCATATCCCTAAATGCACTATATAATAAATGAGGGATTAAACGATATTATATTTGTATGTAATGAATGCATTTGATAATAGACATTTAGCAGACCTGCATAATAAACAGATTTGTGAAAAAATGAGCGGAATTGATTAATGTACAAATGTCTTATATAAGAGATATTTTCTATTTTGGATTGTTTTTGAAAGACATGTAAGTCTAAGTTTTTTGAAAAAAAAAGGTGAAACATCAAAACACCAGACATCCGGATTGCTTGCAAGTTAAACGATTGGTGCGTTTCTTTTCACAAATCTATTAAAAACAATTATAATGAAAACTCAAATATAATTAGCAACATGGTTATCACGTTTAGGTTAAATATAAAAAGGGCAAACATTTTCGAAATTATCAAAATTTAACAAAGGCGTCTTTATATGATATTCACGGAAAATAATTTTATAAGTATTGCTCCTTATTGCAATAAATTGACATAGGTTCAATTGATCCTGCACATGTTATTTCTGCCTGTGGGATTTTTGTTTACATCATAAAAAGTTAATTTGAAATACAATGCTAGTCAAATATCAAATAATAAGACGCTTAAAGGTTATGTGTAAGGTTTGTTAGTCATATAATGGACCCCGAATCAAGTGTTCTTTAAATACATAAAAAATAACAATGCGGACATGAATTAATGCCATTAAGCCAATCATCTTAAATTACATCTTATATTTATGTTAAAATGACTTAAGTGATATTATTTTACTTTTTCATACTAAAAGCATATACGCTAAAAAGAAGAAATCAGATAAGTGTTACAAAAAGAAATAAGATAAATGATTGTAAATTTCATCGTCAAAATATTATCATCTATCAAAATCATTTTTGACAGTTAAGTGTATCTCGTATATACGAGTACTCATATTTCACCAGATTAGTGTAATCAAATAAATTCAATTATACAAAGATTTATGTCTGATGTTCCTTAATGAAATCAAACGAATTACTAACACAAGCATTTTCTAGCAATTGTTTGCCATTATAGGTCAAATAGTTTCAAAAAGCAACGATGTGGTATGGCAAAATGAATTCATTTTTAATTTATATCAAAATAAGACTTTAAGGTCTGTTTTAGTGATACTAGTAACTCAGTGAGAATATGAGTTTCCTTGATTTTGTAAAGACCGTGTAATTGCACTTCGTTTCATAATATTATAATGGGTATTTTGACGATTTTATATTCGGTCTGCAGTCTTTGATATATCAGAAATGCGACCATTTTGACAACTTATTTTAAGAAAAATTGGTCAAAAGTTTCCACCCATTTTTATTTTTTTGTTAAAATGAAATTATGTCACAAATATGCAATATTTTATAATACTGTTTAACAGCATGATACAGTATGAGTGTTAGTTTGTAGTTTGTAATAATTTGAGATCTTTGCCTAGGTATGTTTGACTCTGAAACTTTAAAAAATCCCTTACTGTTTAATGTAGGTTATCAAGGTAAAAAATTAAACATTTGATTTATTTGCATGTTAAAAGATATGCACGAGTTCAGTGAAAGGCTGTTTTTAATTTTGTAATGAATTCCAACATTCCAGTTGACGTTAAAGTACTCTGTTTTCACTATTTACATATAATACTATTTAATTCCAACGGCAAATGAGGAACCATCGTTTAACGGTTAATACTGTATTCTATAAGTGTGTAGCACACAAATTGTAGATAAAATATTCGTCATAGTTTTCCAATATATTTTATAAATATAATTGATTATAAAGTTATAAAGTTAATTTACTAAAACTTATAAATTGGTCCTTTACTCCGCCTTTTTCGTTTTTGACATATATCGGCGTTAATATTGCATAATGCCTGTATTATTTACATTTTTATTATTTATTCAACAATGAAAAGACAAAAGAATATTTTTACATTTTATTTTAACAAAATAAAAATGCATACTTTTGTACAAAGTTTAACAATTCCATTGGACATTGAAATGTTTTGGACCATTTCTATATATACACAAAATGAACATTTATGCATAATAATACAATGGAAATTACAATTAGTTAATTACTAAATCAAAGTACTAGTTAGTTACTTAAAAGAAAGAACTCATTGCAAAAAGAGTTTTTTCTCTTTAACAATTTAGCAACTAGTACACAAAAAGACAAAAGTGTAAACCACATTGAAAGGACACAGATAAAAAAATTCTTGCACATTTTTTCTTTGTCTTTCATTTGTTACAATATATTTATAATAAAAAATAATCCATATGTACGTATAACTTGTATTTGACTCGTGTGTATTTTGCTAGAGCTTTATTACGATTACAAGTACCTTTTACTTCCGATATTATTAATGCAAGCTTTTTCAGTTCAACTTCTTATCACCTGATGCAGATGTGTTTCTAAGCAGTGCAATTAGTGATAATTTTTTTACACGGACTTTAGCCTAAACCCGTGTTATAACTAATATATTACAACATATCATATCAACCTTACGTCAATACAAATAATGTATCAAGTAAAGCTACAAATAATGGGACTGTATGGTTACACAATAATGCATTAGTCAATGGTAACATTATAACTACGATTCTGTATATGATACTGAGGTAATTTGTTGAAAACAAAACATCAAAAGGAAACAATACGTTTGACAATGAACAACAGGTGTTGACTAATTATCATGAAAATAAGAAGAAAATCCAACCGGTCATCACACAATGACAACACTTTCATTTGGCTTACTCACACCACTTATACAGAGCTACAGAAAATCCATTAATGTGACAAAATGAATATGATTGTTGATATAAACTATTTGTAGCTTATTTTGAAGCACTGTCGATTAAGCACGAACAGTAATAATGTCTACTGAAGAAATATTTAAGTGACCAAGTTGGGCACGGATCAATTCTTTCTGTCATTTGAGAAAACGCATTTTGCTAGCCTAACAAAACCATAATGTTTCCTGCACACGATCTCAACATAAATGAAATTTGTTTATTTCAAAATGTAAATCAATTAATAATGTATTATTACACTTGCATAAAACCACAATTTCTTCATATTAATATTGTTACTTCTTTTTACACAATTTATGCCGTATGTCTTTTTCTGTCCTTTTTTTATATTTTTCAATAAAGTTACTGATGATATTCCTGCACTGCTACGACCTAAGGTCATGGGTTGTTGTTCAACGCTTCTAACTCCTCGCCAAAGGTATTCAATTCAGAATTACTATGACCAGGTCCTGTATACGTTCGCTTCCAAAGTGCTCTAACAATTTTAAATGAAGATAATAATCTGTCCTTAGTATGTTTCACATCATCGCGATTGTCTGACTGATGTAATGTTTTATGAGGATTTCGTTGAAAGTCTATGTCTCGGTTGCTACTTTTTGTATGAACAGAAAACCTCTTGAATAGTTTGAAGAACAGAAATATACATACGACGACACCTGCTAGCAAGATTGCCCACCAATAATGCTGAAAAGACAATATATTACAATTGAAAAAATAAAAGTGTATCATAGCATTAAATTATGTATAAGTCCGCAACAAAAATGGAGTTGTATTCAAAGCTTGTTTATTCTCCCATCTACAATGCCATTTACACATTGATACCGGTTTTTTTTATTTTGGGTTTTTACTTGTCTTGTTATTGGTGAATTTTACATTTAAAATGGGTGTGACATTAAGGAGTTTTATCATTTAATTTACATACTAGTAGTACTCACTCTTAAAGTAGATACAATGTTCCCTTCACATTTAGTACCAGGATGGCAATGTTTCATTCTAGGCAATGGTGTATCAGGTCCAGCAACTTGACACCGTTTTTGTACGTCGCAATAGCCAGTGTCCTTGTTACAAGGTGTGCCTGTAAAAACGAATACTTCTACTTATTATTGAATGAATGCCTCAAGGACCATAATTTATTCAAAGATCACTGTGCTTAAATAAAATGAAGCAACAAGACAACTCGACAAACTTCAGCCACACAAGACATTCGAAAGAGGCGCAGCAAGGCGTCGAAAAAATAGGAAGGCACAAAAGTCGCAGAACGTGGGCACGGGTAAGCAAAAACCTGTTCTCGCCATTTGTTGTTGTTTTTTATTATTAATATAAGATTAAGTGAATATTGAAGAAATACTACTTGCCAGTTGGAAGCTGTACGGGACGAATTGTTGAATTGCTTGAAATATTTGATAACAAGGCCATGAATTCAGGATGTTGTTTAACCTTGTCTATATCGTGTGAACTGATACACTCATCAGACCGTCGTCTCCCTGAAATGTTAAAAACGGTCTTGTAAAGAATATGGACTATATGACAAATACTCATGCATGTCATGAACACAAAAGTAGCCTATCCTTTCAGAGATTGACAGGTCAAGAACTAATTATTGTGCAAAACAAGTAAGTTTTCATATGAGCCGCGTCACGACAAAACCAACATAATGGGTTTGCGACCAGCATGGATCCAGACCAGCCTGCGCATCCGCTATCAGTTCCTCTACTTGTTATAGGGTTTGTAAGCGAAAAGCATGGATCCTGATTAGACTACGCGGATGCGCAGGCTGGTCTGGATCCATGCTGGTCGCAAACCCATTATGTTGGTTTTGTCATGACGCGGCTCATATATTTCTACTCTAGACCTGGTAACCTATTGCAAAAACAATTCATTCAGAATTTAAGGAATATGTTGAGCGTAGTTTATGTTATTACAAATTGAAGTATATTAATATATCAATATATTTGTCAATTTGTAAGCACGCATTTGCCATTTCTGAAAACGGTCAAATAGTATTTGTTATCCTTAACATAGAATATTTTGTTCAAATGTAAAAGTAACATCAAATATAAGAATTGCAACAGATTAAAGTTTACTAAGGCTGTCACATTGCAGAATTACAAACAGTTTTTGTAGGTAGTAAGTTGAGATTTACTTACGACAGCCAATGTAACATAGCTCCTCTTTCTGTTGAATAGTAAGGTTTTCATTGTCATTGGACATCAAACATTCTTGCCATTGTATCAGTTTACATATCGACGCGTTACAGCTCTTCAAAGAAACCAAAAACAATACTGTCGCAATAAAATGGATAACTGAGATGTTTTGAAATGTCATATGCGGATAAGTACCCCAAAATCTTTTCACCTTACCATTGAATGAATATCATATAGCTAAAATTATGTGATATTAAAATGCGTTTGATTTTTAATAATGGAGCAAATTGAATAATTGATGACAGCACTATATGTGAACCGAAATACTTAACACACAACTGTATCTAGAAATGCACCCAATATTTATCATTTAAAGTTTGCGTATATTATATAGCATTAAGGTAAAGATTTACCCCTGCGTCACAAACACGGCCATTTCTGCTGCATATAAAACCGTCTTCTCGCTGTTGATCTAAACGTGGCGGTGGGCACTTATGACCGTACATCTCTCCAGTGCGAAAGAGTTAAAGAACTTGAATTTTGTATTATAACATATTTTAGGTGAAACAAATGAACCCTGACTTAACAAGAATGAAACAGCAAAATCGTTTGTGCCTGCTTCGTGAAACCGTTTATAATGTTCATAAGAAAATCCTATACTTGTTTTATTCCTATTCATGTTGTGGTTAACGAAATTATCAGCACTTTCGTACTTTCTTCATAATCTAAATCGTATGCTTAGGAGAATATGATGCTAATATTAAGATTATCATTTCAAAATGTTTTGTAGTAGCATCTAGATTTTGTACATAGTTTTGATGAAAAGGATATTGGCAGTATAATTCGTCGACACATGGTTTAGAGTTCTGACACACAAAATTCTCTGATTTATTTATAAACTGACAAGTACTGCTGTCACAACATGGTCCTTGACTTGGACTGAAATAAATTGAAGAATTTTTGTTTTTTTTTAATTGACAAGTCATTTAAAATATTTAATCTTTGTATTTGGACACTTCATGTATTCAGTATTTCATATAAAATATAATCACATTGCACAGGCTACGTACTACATTATATTAGTAAACGCTTAAACGACATTTATGGTAAACGAATAAGTATTAAAAAACACAACATACTGGATTTAAATGAAATAAATATTTATTTCATTTTACTTTATTTGCGTCAAAATGAATATTTCAACTAAAATTGTTCCTGAAATGTCAAAGATGCACTACATGATTAAGAAGGTGCTGAAGAGCGTAGTCAATCCTGTTTGACAAGTTTGACATGGTCTTATTATGGTCTTATTATGATCTTACTTAATTGACTTGCAACGTCAATTAATCATGTATCCTACACTATTAAATGTATTAAAACAATACCCTTTATGTATTACCTGCATTGTGCCGTAGCTTTAAGCATACATCTTAAACCCTCAGTTGCATTATGGGAATGACAGCAAGCATCTTTACCTGTATAGCAGTCGTTACCACAGTCACATTCCTCCTCGTCTTCAACTATACCATTACCACAATATGGTAACTCACTACCTGGTGAATTATATGGCTATATATTGAATTGGTACTCACTTATTGCTGAACAATAATTATGTTTGAATATCTAATAGCTCTCTACTATATGAAAAATATTGCTAAACATCAAATAAGTAACTCATTTCTTATTGAAATATTGTCTGAAAATTAGGTTGGAAACTCACTATCTGATAAAATGATAAACTATAAAATTGGTTATTCACTACCTAAAACTATATATAGCTAAACGTAACTTTTTCACCCAAATACCTGCTCCACCTATAAGGTTTTTAATATAACGCCTAGTAGTAAATGACTTTTGTAACATCTTTAACTATTTTATTTTAAAAATCACACTAGTCAAGTAGTCATACCAGTAAAACAAGTTGTTGATTTGTTCCATAGACAGCGCTCTTGATATATATTTAAGACTACAAGGTGATAGTTTATGGTGATTTGGTTTGTCTCCGCGTTGTGCGACATTATGCATCAAATAAAAGCCGTCGACTGGTTCCTCTTTCAGATTAAAACCTGCGCATTCCTGCATAGTGTCATGCTTAAAAGTAAAAGGCAAAATGCATTTCAGATATACTACGCTCAATTTAGAATATTTGTTTTTATGAATAAATTGATACAGACATATTTTAATCAAGTTCTCTTATTATAGATTCTATATTCTGTACTCTGTGTTATAGGATTTGTATTGTTCACCTCCAGTTTAGTTGCATTTTCAAAACAAGAATTTTCAAAACTTCTCTAGTGAAGCATTTACTAAATTTCAAAGTTATCACACAAGTCGTCGGTAAGACATTTCACCATTATATCAAAACAAACTATTACTTTTAAGACAATTGTTCTTACTAGTGCGCCAAATGCATGTGCAACTTCGTGTGTAAACACCAATTGTGTAACCATTGCTGGTAATGCTTGTGTAGTTTCTTGAAATAATGTGATGAATCCATTGTTTATGTTAGAACATATTCCCCCATCTTTGTCTGTAAATAATATTGATAGTGAAATAATATCGATTGTTGACGATCATACGACATACCACCTTGAGTAACAAAACAACATCAATAAAAGAATGTTGAAACATTCTATTAAGTTATGCCAAGGCGTCGAAATCCGATGAATTTCGTTGACAACAACATAAAAAATATACACATTGACTTAAACTTGATAACATATCTATCTTCCTGTAATAACAAATGCTTGCTTGTCATTTTTGTTAAAGAAAGTACTTACCTTTTGATGGCTGAAATGCTAAACCAAGAAGAGGACTTCTGTTGATATACAACACTCTAGCTGTGATAAGGAAAGACAAACAATACTTTGATTCTGTTGTTAGATATTCGTCATCTTTGTATGCAGCATCTGTTAAACAAATGAAAAGAAAAACGCAGTTATCAAACAAAACATCAGTTATATGTCTGGGTGTAACAGATTAATAAAACTATAACCAAAGAATATCAAGATACAGTAACAATGACAATGAATCGTTAATATATCTAAATTTGTCGGAAGTTTATCAAAAATACTAAATGTAAATATAATCTATTTAAACTCGAAATTTAAAACAACATGTAGCCTATTTAAACCAGTCTCGAACCAACTTCCTTGGTGCCATACGATGCAACATGGCTGTTGTTCTAGAGACAAGAAGTCGCGATTTCATGATTGAGATCCACAAGATCATCGCTCCCTTTTTAAGTACACATACATCCTTGGTAATCAGCATCATGAAAATCATGATTATAGTAATAATCGTAATCAGATAGACTTTCTTCTTCTTCTTCATCGGCAAACTTGTTGAGCAGGACTTGTCCTTTAAGATCGTCTCGGCATAAAACAGATGTGTTGTTTTCCTCGCAAGTAAATCTCGTTTCCGTCTGCCTCTTGGCTTATTATTCATCAACTTCAGGACAAAATAATCATCGTTTAACTAAGTAGATTTTTATTGTTAATAAGGTTTTATATTAACAAGAACGAAATTTTGTATGATAAATAAATGGCAATATGTACCGATTTAGTTATTGTTGGTTGTGTTGTGAAAGATAACCTTTCTTTAGAAGTATTGCAAACTTTTATGTCCTCAAAATTAGCAGATTATCAATTAAACTGAGTATGCACATTGTTGCCTTGAAAATTTACACTCATATATTTTTTGGGTTTTACATTGGCTAGGTGCATTGAAGTATCTGAATAGTTTCAAACCTGAGTCTTACTCCCTGCATTTTGTACCCATCTGAGTGGAATGTGTGATTCCTGAAAAAAGTAGAGAATTGAAATTGAAAACGGTGTTTTACTCTCACAGAGTCATATTAAAGTTTCATATGAAATCTTGGGAAAGCATTTTCTTACTTCTTTTATATATTCTATATATTGTATACTATTTAAGTGTGCAAGATCTGTTCAGAATAAAAACAGTTTGTTTATGTTTAATATGTTTTTATCAATTAATAAAACTGCCAAATAATGAAGGAAAAAAACATTTTATTATATATTATTATTTTATATTCGTTTCATTCAAGATCACATAAAAGGTTTGTTTTACAATAGAAAACACCTGCATCTGAGAAAACGCGATGATAGAACAGAATTAAGAATGTAGTTTGCGACAAGAAAAATTAATATTTGTGCAAGTACCATACTATTGACCCCTCCAACAATAATACTCGTTCTTCTTCATCAATGGTGTATAATACAGAGCACAAAGGACATTTGTGAATAATGTTTATAATAAATCATACCATAGATAGTCTTTTTCAGAGTATATCACTGTATGAAATGGTGTTGGCTGTTTGAACAACCAGGAACTTGGAGCAATGTGATAAATGGTTTCTCCAGGATGAATTAGTTTTCCCTGCAATGTTCCATTGATCACAGCTATTTTTGCTTCACTCCCAGGATAATCTTTAAAACAATCGGTCGTAAAATTAAACAATATTTTCAAAGATATAGGACAGAACCTATTGGTTTTTATTCAATATCAATCATCATATGAAAAAATGTTGCCTTACGGCAAATGTAGTCAAACTGTATAAAAATAAGCAAATTAAAATAAATATACAAGCCGTTTTCGATTGCGTGCTTTCAATGACAATGTATCAAATTGTTTACAAATAATATGTAATATATATCTAATGGGAATGTGAAACGTTGCAAATATAGACAGGTCGTTTATTAGGGAGCAGCCTGAGAAACTGCTGTAATTACCTTCGACCCAACCCTTTTGTATATTGTCTGAAATTATATGAATTCATGTACAGTCCAAGTTTATATTCTATCAAATAAAATGTTATTAAACTATAACCTGTATCTTTTGTTAGGTACAAATACATAACTGTAATATTTTTCGAAATGAATGAAATATACAAAACTTAGGAAAGACATTTATACATTGGGATATTTTAGTTGAAAAGCACACATACACCATGTCTAGATTTTAATATTCGTATAATGCTAGGTTAGACACGAATTATAAAAATCTTAAACTAAAATAGAAAACTTTGTGTATTCTAGGTTTGCTTGAATAATAAAATATTTTTTTCGCTTTTGATTTTAGGAATATGTGTTTTTGAAAGTCATGATCGAAATTAAAAAACTGGTTATTCTATTAACATTATGTTAAAGAGTTTTAATCACAGTTTATCACCGATTCTAAAGTTATTTTACTTTTTTAAAACAGCAATTCAATTTTCAACAGCACAATTTTATGATAAGAGGCGATATACGATAGCAAGAGCCGTTACGTTCAATATAAAGTGGGCTTTCTTACATTATCTAGTTTAGGCAATATTTTGGAGATTAATTATGTCTTTAAGTCCTTGGGTGTATTTTGTTATCATCCGCAATACATTATCCTTTTCATTAAATGATATATTAACCTAGTAACTATTTTTACATTGTATATCAATGTTGCTATCCAGCTAGCTTACGGAACGTCGGTGGTTCTACTCAGGTGCCCGTTCGTGCCTGAAATAATGCACGGAAGGGCACCTGAGGTCTTCCCCCAACAGTAAAGCTGGAACGTCGCGATATGACCTATACTGTGTCGATGTGACGTAAAACCCAAAACAAACAAACAAAATATCAATGTTGAATATCTCATTATGATAACCTTTTTTGATTTATTAACCACGCATCAAAATGATAACTTTTCCTGACATTTAAACTGTAAGTTAAACACAATTCCAAAATCTCTAGCTATTTTTCATGTTGAGATTGAATGCAGTGTTGGAATTTCAATGTTACTTTTTTCTTAACTATATGAAAAAATAATTTGCGTCAGCGGGGATTTTGAAACTTAAATTCTCTAGCGCTAACAAGTATGTAGTCCATGTATTTTAATGAAAGTGATTTGGTCCATAATGGAAAGGTTTATGTTATGTTGATAGTATATAATTTACTTATATGTGGATATAGTTTATAATTGTGAGATACATGATGAGATTTAATTTTACATATCTTTATATTGCAGATAAAACAACTGTTCTAGAACAACTTATTTTTCACATCATACAACTGTTCATAATTGTTCAATTAGAACTCTATCAACTATTTTGCCCAAAGAATATTTAAAAAGGAATATAAAGTTGGTTTTATTAACAATTAAGATATGGCTGGAAATGTTCCTGTTGTAGACAAAATATATTTTAACAGCAACTGCCATTACTAATAAAAAATTAAGGGATAGTGTAATTTATGCTATCGGATCGGACATAAATTGATAACTTATCATAGCGATTTCAAAATAAAAATAAGTTTTAATTTACGTCTTTCAACAAAATTGCGTTTAAAAATGTTTCATATTAACTTTGTGAAAAACTTTTGAATCATACTACCCGAAATTAGCTTGATATGGCATATAAGCTTTAAGAATAAAATAAATAAGATAATAAACATTACTAGATGACCCAAGGCAAAAAAGGCTTTTTTCGGATTGACAGGTATAAAAGTTAAATGGTATTGTAAGATAACTTTTAACCAAAATAATTTCAAACGAAATAAAACCGTGAGACTTTTTTTTCAACATAATTACAATGTTTTGTTTCGTTCGTTGCTGATATTATTTGAGTCAAATATTGTATCTAAAGCATGTACCAAACCTGAATGAATAATGTTTGATTATGCATTACAGATCCGTTCAAAAACCCTTATGCAAGCACATTTGGGGCAATAAAATTTCGATTAAGAGGACACGGGAATTATCTATTGAAAATTTTTTAACATAGAAATCATCAAACAAAAGTTTAAGTTATTAGGGATTGTATGATAAACAAGAGATTAAATATGATCAAAGCGTTTTTATTGTCAACAACGCTTGACACACATATTGAGCGTTTTTATTCATCAAAGCAAAATAAATGTACATGTCTCTTTCATGTGTTATCACAAAAGTTCGTTTTTTTTCTTCTTTAAACAGTGCAACGCTACAAAAAAACGTTGGGGGGATTTTATTATTTAATCCCAACTGTGGTTTTTTTTTTGTAGTTGATATTATATACCTTAAAGTGTACACATCTAAACGAAAATGTAGATATCTTATACCTTTTCAAAAATCATTTTTCAAAAGAATAAGCATTTTCCTTTTGATAATAATAACATATTAAAGGGAAAATAAATAACACTGACAACCAACCTGTATCCTTTCCAGTAATAAACAAAATGACAGATCTGGTGTAGTGGTTTTTTCTTTTTGTGATGCAGAATAATGTTTGATGTTGACTGTACACTTCTTTTTAATTCAAGAGAAAAGTTTCTGAAAACATTATAATATAAGTTAAGGCATTAAAGCAAAACTGTAGAAAAATAAATAATCTAAAATATCTCATATCTTACAGATATTAATAGTGCTGTCTGGCAAACTACAAATCATGAGTCAACATGACATGCGGCGTCTTAGCAATATAAGAAGGGCAAACCATAATTCACTGTTCTCAAATTATGCAAGTTTTGACAGTATACGTACATTTTTTTAAAGCAAACTCTTAAATTGATAAATATTACTCTCATTTCGTCAATCCCGAGTTGCTGTATTTAAGCAAGTATATATCTTGACATTTTTGTTTTGAGTACATCTTGACGCTTATGTCATGCATTAAAGGTTTCAAAGGAGAAAATGTATTGTTATAACTACATTTATCACACACCCGTGCCGATTTCGCGACTCCGTAAATATGGTATTGCACGGCCGTGCATATATTTTGACGTGACGTCATTAGCGTTATACAAACATAGTGTAAAGACGCGCTAAATGTTAGCGTTATACTATAGGCGCGTCAATGAAAAATGACTCTTATTTCTCTTTAAACGGTCTTTATTTTGGGTATGTGATAAATAGAATATTAAATTCGTGTAAGTTCATTACTGAATTTATTGCACTCGTTGAATAAAATAATATTATGCTCGCCAGAGGCTCGCATAATATGATTTTATTCAACTCGTGCAATAAATTCAGTATTGAACTTACACTTATTCAATATCCTCTATATCTGGCATTTATCTTTAAACAATTTGATTACATAAGCTATTTAAGAACTTAGTTTTTTCAAATGGCAATGTTTAATAATTTTCTTGTCAATTAATGTAGCATTCAGAATAAAGAAATGAACATACTATTTAAAGACACGCACCTTTTAAATGCATTCAATTTAATCCGGATTAAACTCCCCGGCTTGCCGCTTTTTGTATGTAAAAGGTGAAGGTAATCTATATCGTAATTTAGTGGCTCATAGTACAACAAACGCTTGTCCAAAAGCTCTTCCTTCCCTGTATAAAAGTAAAACAGAGGACATACGAAAATTACACAAAGGTATATACGAGGGGTGATCCAAAAATTCGTGGACAATGTGTGTATCTCCATAACTTGACGTCCTACCGAGGTGAACTCTTTAGATATTATTAATCAATGCTTTTTTAATAAATTGACCACATTTTAAAACACCAATTGCATTTTTTATCTATATATGACAACATAAAAACATTAAGTATCAAAATCGCGGCGCAGCTTACTTTTTCTCTGTGATGTAAACGTTTACATCTCATTTAAACACATGCAAAACCTGTGCAAACAAAGAAAATTGCGGGAAACGTTATAATAACGTTGTTTTGATGTGTATGACGTCATTCTGTCAGTATATTAGAAGACATTTTGAAGTTGCGGTTATTTTACGCTCGTGCTTTAAAGAACAGGTGCTAAAACAGTTTATCGAAAATGGACGTCACGGATCCAGCAAAACTTCGGACAGCTATACAGTTCTGTGTAAATCTTATTATGTTTCCTAATCAAGTATACCGCTAAATAGACAAATGTACACCTTGTACTATAGTACACCTTGTACTATAATATTGCCACACACATGCATGTAAACAATTACAGTACACTTTGTTCATAATATACAAAAGCTACAATTCCTTTGCAGACGATAATATGCATGTTTGATATGTTTTGAAATATTCAAGTTTATCGGAATCAAAGTTACAGAAGAATCATCAACGAATTACTTTATTTCACCACAAAGTGAACAAAAAAGGCTTTCGACCACCTGCATTTTAAATAAAAGCGTAATAAACAAAACCACAAGATAACTGTTTTAAAACCGCGTATACTTTATTTTCATTACATACGAACATATATATATATAACACGAAAAACATTCTGAATGCAATACTTTTGCAGAAAACAAATAAAATGATGCCAATTGCTTTTAAAAATAGAGCTTTATTACGTAAACTTTTTAAATCATTTTAAATTAACATCTAATACTTCATCATTTACAGTAGAATATATAAAAAGTACCTTAAATTTCTGAAAAAAATAAATACAAAAATATATGAGCCGCGTCACGACAAAACCAACATAGTGCGTTTGCGACCAGCATTGATCCAGACTAGCTTGTGCATCCGCGCAGTCTGATCAGGATTCATGCTGTTCGCTTACAAACCCTATAGCAAGCAGAGAAACTGATAGCGAACAGCATGGATCCTGATCAGACTGCGCGGATGCGCAGGCTGGTCTGGATCCATGCTGATCGCAAACGCATTACGTTGGTTTTGTCGTGACGCGGCTCGATCATATCATTTTAAATTTTTGTTTTTCTGAGGAGACGATACAATATAAAGTGTACTATTATCTCTTATCACAGTGTTTGGTTGATAAAATCATGAGATATGTAAAATAATGATGCCTCTGTCTGGTTATGAAACGAATAGTGACTTTATGTGAAAAAAAACAACATAAATAAGAACAACAAATAATAACATCGTAGAAGATCCTGTAATATGTAATAATATATCATGTGTCTAGATAAAGACTAAATTATTGGTATGAAATACAATTATATATAAATCATTATTCATACACACTCTGATTTATACAAATGTCAAACTGACATTAAAATAACATGTATTATAAAGATTAAATATTTATAAACCATCTTAATAATATACCGCTTGAAAATTTAAATTTGGGTTATTGCGACTAATAACCGAGTAATGTAAATACTACAGATTCAATTTATGCTTTAAACGTCCCTATAAAATGTAACTCAATATGTCATAAAATGAACAACCATTCATGAAATATAAAAAATAGAAGAAAGAAAATATAAATCACTTAACTAGTCAAGTACACATTGCTGTCCGTACAAAAGTAAAATGAAGTAAAACTACATGGTAATTTGTTTGTGACATATCGTACTTTCGCTCGCCAGGCGCAAGACAAAAACACGAAAATACGACTAAGTGGACACTGTCGTTTTTTCGAGTTTTTACCTGGCGCCCGGCTGAGGGAGAGTACCCAAAGTGGTTGCTTTGTCGTATTTTCGTGTTTTTCTATGTCGCCCCACGGAGAAAATACTCAATGACAAAAAATCAGCCGCCATTATTCTAAAGTGTTCTTTTATGTGATTAAAATAAAATCAAATAATTCCTTTGTATATCAAAATATATTATTGGGATATATCAATGACGGCGAAATTGATATATAATCGCAAGCGCACACATAATTTGTCAACAGTAAAATTAGTTGAAGAAGTATAAAATACATAATTGTTAAAATCCCCTGACTAACATCAAAGACGACTTTTAAAAAGAAAATTAAATATATAGATTATCATTTATACACACTCTGATTAATGTAAATGTCACACTGACATTATTATTACATTTCTTTTCAGATTTTGACAGAGTAAATATTTATAAATCAAAAATATACCGCTTGTAAATTTAAATTTTGGTAAATGCGCTAATTAGGACTAATGTAAATACTACAGATTCAATTTATACTTTAAACGTCCCCATAAAATGTATCCAATCTGTCATGAAATGAATATACATATTTTTGTGTTGTTTTTTTTATTTCGAGTTTGCTCCTGGCGCGCCGCTAAGGGAAAGGTCAACTTTTTTGAATTCACGATTTCAACTCCGCGAATTCACGATTTCAACTTCATGAATTCACGATTTAACTCGAGGAATGCACGATTTCATGTTCATGAATTCATTATTTCAACTTTCTGAATTCATGTTTTAAACATCACGGATTCAAGATTTCATCTTCACCAAGTTGAATAAATGAATTCGTGAAGCTAAAAGCGTGAATTCTGTATGTTGAAATCGTGAATTCATTTAATTGAAATAGTGAATTCGTGAAGGTAATGCTGAAAACTACGAAAGACCGGTAGGGACATTTCAACTTCATGAATTCCCGATTTCAGCTTCATGAATTCCGATTTCAACTTCAAGAATTCACGATTTCAACTTCACGAATTCACGATTTCAACTTCATGAATTCACGATTTCAACTTCACGAATTCACGATTTCAACTTCATAAAGTTGAAATCGTGAATTCGTGAAGTTGAAATTGTGAATTTGTGAAGTTGAAATCGTGAATTCGTGAAGTTGAAATCGTGAATTCACGAAGTTGAATTCGTGAAGTTGAAATCGTGAATTCATGAAGTTGAAACCGTGAATTCGTGAAGTTGAAATCGTGAATTTGTGAAGTTGAAATCGTGAATTCGTGAAGTTGAAATCGTGAATTCACGAAGTTGAATTCGTGAAGTTGAAATCGTGAATTCGTGAAGTTGAAATCGTGAATTCATGAAGTTGAAATCGTGAATTCGTGAAGTTGAAGTCGTGAATTCATGAAGCTGAATCGTGAATTCTTGAATTCCGTATTTTGAAAACGGGAATTCACGAAGTTTAAATTGTGAATTCATGAAGATGAAATCGGGAATTCATGAAGTTGAAATGGCCCTACCGGTCTTTCGTAGAAAACTCAAGAAGTTTATATGTCACCACCGATCTTTCGTACGAAAGTGTAAGTGAGGTAATATAGCAACATCTTAAGTTTAAAATGTGATATATCTTGTATAACTCAATTTACCTTGCTCAAAACAAAATTTCATGAACACGTTGACATATATATATAAAAAAATCAGCATGATCCTACAGACGCCGTCATTTCGTACAAGTTAAGGTCTAATAATTTTTCCTTCTTAAACAAAAATGCCTATAAGATAAGGTTTTGGTACTTAATATGATCAAGCAACAATATAATTTAAGAACAAAATAAAATGGTTTCAAGTGTGTTTCAACAGATGGTTGATAAGCCATGTTTAAGTCCTAAATAAGTGAATGAATACACGTTTTGTTTGATAACAATAATATAACATAAATCAGCAATAAAACAATGGTTTTGCACACTTGTGAGTTAAAAAAAACTTGAAAAGTTATAAGTTTTTAACAGCTCAACACCTCTCATAATTGGAAAATACTTATCTTAAATAATAATGGCATTGATAAAAATGGTTTATCTACAATGTTGAAGGCGTTCTTGTTAATATAAACACTTTTACATTTGTTTGAACAGTTTTTATAACTTATTTATTTAGAATAAAATAATTGATTTTTGATGAAGTGATATTTTTCGACTTAAAATTCGCTTACAAAACACTTTTAGTATTCAAATAAAACATGAATGATCAACAGCGGGTTATGTAGATTTATCTCCCAGATAAAATTTAGTATTGCAATTTGAAATTATAAGATATATAGCCATTCTTGAGTGTGGTGCATTCATGCAAATTGTATAATCTAAGCGTCAATGTGTCGACGTGCCTTTTCATTATTTATTACAGATTCTGGTGGCTAACCATAATGTTTATCTTTTTTATTTCTTTTCAATTTCACCAACACCCCTCCCAACACCACCACCATCCTCCAACCACATAAAGAAAGAAAAAATTGTCCTGTTCAAGGATATCATCTCGATTTATAAAAAAGTCTTTTCATGACAATCACTGAGGTGACTAGAATGACAAAAATATTCAGATTAGCAGTTAGTTTACGCTTTTTGTCTGTATAAAAGCTGCATTTTTGAAGTGTTCTTAAAGATGCGTTTCGAAAATCAACGATAACAAATGTTGCAAACGTCAGTGAAATTGAAAGTGATGACAGGTACACGATTTGTGATATTGTCAAAGCTGTTGTCATTTCGGGTGCATTTTATTTTGAAGCGTATTTTAAAAGTATGAACGATTTCAGCCAGATGAATACCCCATATATTAACATGACCAAATCCAAACCGCTTAGCAATTGCTTACAATGTTCAAACTTCAATCAAAGATATTTTTTAACATTGTTATTGATGACGATACATGGGTTAACTATTTTTATTTTTAACTAGTCAGAAAAATTGGAAACAAAATAGTGCTGACCAAAAACGGTAGAAGGCCTGTAGTTGCCAGGAGGACCAAGACCACAATGAATGTCCTTCTCCCGTGGTGTTATAGCCGTACAAAATTTGTTAGCAAAGAGTAAAAGTGTTAAATGTCGGTTTTACCGAGATGTCATACTAAAACGCTCAAGAAATATAATCAACCTTGTGTCAGGATTTATTTATGTTCATGATATGTTCCATCACATACATCTGAGCTTGTTAAGAAATTTTTGAAGTCTTGCAACATTCACCATTCTCTCTAGGATCTAGCCCCATGTGACTTTTACGTTTTCCAAACCTTAAAAAGTTCTTATCTGGTCGTCGATACAAGTCCCGACAGACGCTTGGCTCTGTCAGGTTTATCTAATCAGAGTACAGTGACGAATTTCATAATTGAGATATTAAAAGTATGTATTTTCAAACCGCGGAGAACATTTTGAAGTTCATCTGACTAAATTCTTTTTAGATATTGTACAATACACATCACAAATCGAACAACCCACGTCTATCGAAAACACAGAATCCACAAATGGTTGGTTGTTCCGTGATATTTTGATATTTTATAGCTTAGATATGCATTACTATTTGCGAAATTATGCAGAACAATTGAAATTAGTGTGGAAAAAATTACTCTTACATTCCACTATTTTCGCTACTTTTCTTTTATCATATAAATTATTCAACTTTTTTATCTTAATATGTTGGTAAGTTGTAAAATAAATCAAAAAAATAAAACCCAACAGATTTACATAGTACAGTATTTTACAAAGTACAATTTTAAGTTTGTTACACAATAACACATTTGATAGATAAAGTTCGAGATAAAAAAACAACCTGTACCTAGCTATGTTGATCCAATTATGACTATCGAAACCGGTAATGATACAAAACTGCACGGCTTCTAAGAATTATTTTTTTCTTACTGGAATTTATTGGTATAGTATTACAGAATTAAACTATTTATCTGGCAAGAAATAAAAACTGAAATTGTTCATCGCTTTAATATAATTCTATGTAATTCTAAGTGCTTGAGATATAAACTACTGTACAATGATACAAAAATCTTTTATTTTTAAAACACATGCACAATGATACACATAATTTAATATAACACGTTTAATAATAAGTTTTTTTAAATAAACTTTATCTGTGATAAACACATAACTTTAAACAGAGAAAACGTTAATGGTGAAAAAATCTAAGTATAGATCTTTTCAGCTCGCAAATAAAATATACCAAAAACAATCTAATTGAAAATATGAAATCACTTATATGGAATCACAATTAACACTAATCCGGTTGAAATATGAATTAATGTACACAAATATTCGTTTCTTTATATATATTGAAACACTAACAAAGGAACACTAAGGATAATTAAACATGTACTTGATAATCATGATATAATTGCCCCAGGTTAATTTTGCTCGGTTATCGTAGTAAAATATATATTTTAATTGCTTTCTTAGAAATACGGCAGCATAATCATACATTTCATAAATGACACTAAAAATCGGCCTTTATTTTTCCTAAACATAAGAATTCTAGAATTATCAAACAACATTAAATTTGACAGGTGTTGAAGGAATGAAAAATAAAACAGTTAGTGAAATAACCGCACGTTTAGATCTTATTTAATTCCCGTTTTGATATTTCACTTTAGATATATTTCTAACATTGCAGGCGCAGTTTACAGGAAAAAAACATATTGTTTAATTTATTATATACTCGACATACTCAAAGTTTCGTTTTTCTCGGTTGTTTTTTTCTTGCTGTGTTCTCTTTCCCCTTATTTGTTAAATCTTAAATACTTCATTTCAATAGCAGATATTATCTTTCATAAAAAATATCACCTGCATTAAATCTTGATCTATAACCCCCTTGCTCGTATGCTAGATATGGAAATAAACTTTTAAGAATAGCTATTTATCAATAAATTATTTCTCGATAGTCATAATAGCATAGTCAGAATTTCTCAAAGGTATAATTGTATTATTTAATTTTTCCTAGCGTGCATTTTATATCTTAATTCTATGACGTACATTAAAAGGTTTATAAAAAGATGAAAAACAAAACATTAAAATTTTTCAAAGAAAAATAAAATTTCATAAAGTTAAAATTAAATAAAATATGTCAAACCTGCAACATAATTAGCACACCATGCTATCTGAAACAATAACAAAATTAACTCGACATTTAGATGTCTCATTTTGCACTCTATATAAATCTCAATGTTTGACAATAGTTATTTTATCCATTATGAAAATGCACATCATTTATCCGTCTCGATTATATGGTAATATCCATGCATGCTGTTATCATTACGACTGAACTGTTTACTCTAAAACTTCAGCTAGTTAAACTGTATTTTATATCACGGTAGTTTTTTCCTACCTATACTCTTACCACACATGCGCAGTCAAAACACAAAATCCGCTCCGATTTGATACTAAAGTTTTCATTACTTCTGTTTGCTATTTGAATATTAGTTTGGCTTACCGGTTTATCTCTTATGACATGTCATCTCACTCTGACATAGAATTATAATATTTAGTATCTTATATTCATGTATAATGATATGGTTAATTAATTTATAATGTTTAGATAAGTTCATTCATTTGGTTAAACATAAATATATTAAACAATATCATTATTATTAAAACCATTAATTAATCAATCAATTGATCAATCAATCAATCAAATGATAAAATTATTAATTAATTAAATATTTATTTATTATTTCCGTTATTCACTTGTAATGATTTACATGCATTATTTTATTTATTTATTTATTTATTTACTATATTTGCATTTCTTTTTGCATTTGTTTTGTTATTTAAGACTCGCATCTTCTTAATACTTCAATATAGATTTATAAGAGATAAAACATCTATTTACGGACATAAATAAAAACATAGCAGACACACATTAAGCAAACAATAATTGACTCCAAAGTTGTAAAGCACATCATCGGTACATCTTTTTTAACCTTGTAATACAGGTCAAACAATGTTGACATGTTTTACATGGTGTTGATAAAACTTGAGAGAAATTGCCTCCATTCACACTCACTATGTTCATATCTTTACTACAAGGTCATACAAGTGTAAATAGTTTAAAACGTCTATTTCCATTCATAATTCTTCAAAGATTGTTTCGTAAGGCATATAAATGCTTGTTAATAGCGTAATAGCCGTAAATATTTCTACGCTAACTACAAGATCTGTTTATATTGTTATATTATACTATGTAATTCACTGTCCTTTTTCTGATGTTGTTTTTTTTTTTTCGTTTCTTTAATGTTGTTGTTTTTATTCATTTTTCGTTTTTACTTATTTTTTTTTTATTTGTTGATGATTTTTTTATATAATATTATTATATTTCTATATTTGCTTTCAATTGCAAGCATTTGGTGAGAAATTTGATTTCGACATTAGGCAATTTTGCAATACGATATTTCTTTGCCCGGTAAATACGTTTATCAAATTCAGAAAAGTGATCCTATATTGTTGCATTAAGAAAAAAACATTGTACATGTGCCTGTAGTTGGTAAATCAGTTCTTTACTCGCAAAAAAAATTCTGATAGCAAATATATCCCTAAATGCCAAATATGCTTAATTTACAGAATGATTTTCTCAATTTAGAAGTCATCAATGGCGAATATCAGACTGAATACGTCACGTAACTTTATGGCGCACAATATGTCACTTTTTGTATTGTATGAGTCATTATATTACCCAGATTGTCTTACGTTGATAATGTTATTGACATAATTTATTATCTATGCAAGTTGGTCTATAAAAGTTTAGATTAACAATCTACGTCAGATCAATAATGCATGATTCAGTCAAATGTCCTTGTTAAGAACACTGATACTTTTGTTCAAACATGGTTTTTATACCATACGATCTTAAAAGTAACTTGAATCACGTGAAAGCTTATGAGTTCTTTCAAAGCTCAGTATATTATGCAAGTTTGGCATTTATCATTAATGCAACAACTAAACCGAGTTATAACATATGGATTTAAATAAATATGCATTTGTTCATTTTCTTATGATGAATAAAGAACTCTTCAACATCGGATATGACATGCATAAAATATATGACTTTACTTTATTCACTTTCTTATACTTCTAATTAAAGGGACATATAGCTAATGAATTATCATTTTAAATAGTTATAATCGGTAACCAATATTACTTTTGGAATAATTTATGTTATAAAAGCTTATTGGCAATGTAAAAGGAAGTCATTATTTAATGAGTGCATATTTAAATGAACTGAATACTTTCAGTTCCGAAATGTGTATGTTAAAAGATAGAAAACATGTCTTTACACTTCAATAAATATGCACTCAAATAAAATAGGGTCTGACATTAATACAATGACAAGTGTCCATTCTTTTGATTGATATTATCTTTATTAATCCATTACACTGCCGAGGGAAATGACAATTGATCAGGCATAATAACATAAAGATAAAGAACATCCACATTAAACAATTTACCCGTTTGAAACAAAATGTTCTTAACAAATTATTAGTTATGATATGATATTTAGAATGTCTTTATTCATTGAATGTGTTTGCTGAGAAAACAGAAAAATATAAGCTTAAAAAGTGTTAATCAGTCGGGAACAGTAGCAATTAAGTAGTCAAGATAAGGTCATTTTGTGTGTCGTTAAAGTGATCTAGTCTCTTTTTATTAGACCATAAGAGTAAAATAAACAAAGTAAAACAAATGTCACGCAGCAGAGCCTCTGACAATATCCAGCAATACAAGATATCCAACCAGTTGAACATGAAAATGATTACCAGAACTAGTTGAAACACGCCATGCGAAGGGATAATGTAACTTTCTAAAGTAACCAAGAGCTATATATTTTTCAAAGCGACACTCATTTGTTTAATAATTTGCTCTTTAACTCATTCATTTTCAAATTGATTTTACAGTAAACTGAATAAGTATGCTAATTCATATTGTCTAAAAAGAAGCAATACTCGTTTTATACAGATTGATATATCTTTGTGATTTTTTGCAGGACAGTAATGTAAGGTGGCACAAAGGTGACATGTGTGTGTGTTTTTATTTATCTCGTGGCCACGAGATACTATGTCGTGGCTACGAGTTACTAAGTCGTGGACACGAGATAGCTAAGTCGTGGCCACGAGATAATCGATTTCACAAGAAAAAAAGGAAAAGACAAGGTTCAGTTTGTTATTCTATAACTTCTATATCTTTTTTAATTTCATGTCTTCACTTAGGCGTATGCAATGCTGTATTAGCATGAATGAATAAATGTCAAACGTTTGACATTCGGTTAAGCGGAGAATTCAAATTTTCAACAACTTAACTGGCATTGAAGTATATTAGATAACATTTTATAAAATGTTAAGTGGCAATGATCTATCTATTATGCAACATAATAAATAAGAAAATATGATGTTATGTTAATTCTTAAAAAAAAGTCATATGATATTTGGACTGTTTAACTGCTGTTTGAAATTGAAAGAGGATATCCCTTGTGAGCAATGCACACATAGTAAAACGATGAAAATTGCAGAATCGGTATTATAGCTTGGTCCATGAGAGAATTTACAAGAATCAGCATCTTCATTGCCCTCTAGCACCAGCTACATCTTCAACATTATTATACATGTATCTGTCAATAACCCAAATATAACGAGATTAAAATAAGTACGGGGCAACAGATAACATCTTTCATACAAAAATAAACACCTTCTGTAATAAGTGTAAAAATCTTAGTTTCAGCACAGTTTATAAGTTTATAAAATCCTCTTTGGCTCTCACTTGTTTTTGTTTCCTTTTCTTGCTCAAGCAATAAAGTACTGACATTAAATATTTCGCGGAAAATGTAATGCAGTGGTAATTGTTAGCATAAAATATATCTTTAGTCAATCTTGGAATTTTCGATAAAAAAATTGTAAAAAAACATTTGTAATTTGTACAAATTATAGTTGGTGCCAAGATTTTTATCCATCAAATTTACGGGCCCGTTGAAATATATGTCTTTATAAACTCCTGCATCCGTAAAGATATATAGTAAATCTTTCATTGTGTACGCTTTCCGTTTCTGTAATACTATATATCAGCATGGGAAATCAACAGCCGACACACGGTTAAAAAACGCGAAACAAATCTGTATCAATAATAAAAAGTTTTTATAGTTTTGAAACAGTAAAAATGTTTTTAATGCATTTATTTTTTAGGATCTGTCCTGTTGCCCATAGGATCTTAATTAATAAGACTAATTTGTACGTTCTGTCAAAACAAATTTCACTTATAAATAAAAACACTTCTCATATAATCCCATATACTGTAATAAGTTCATGTACTTTATATCAGATTTCCAGGTTTTATTATCATAGAAAAACTAATTTTGTTTGAGATTATGATACTAACTTTATTCACATTTCTGATAGAACCATCTTCCTCGTTCTAATCTTGCACATCTAGACTTGACCTTAAAATAAAGTGATGAAAGTTCATATATATATATATAATTATATATATTATTTCTATTTAATAGCAGTAATGTATCAGAACTTAGATATTTTTCATTTTCAATGAAACCTGAACTGGAGAAGGAATCGAAAATTTGAAGTGGATTGGTCTACAATGGAAATATAATTTTCATGAATATTTCAAATATTTATGAAAAAATAAAAATATATCAATATTCTCATGAAACAGAATGTTGATGAAGTTATATGTGAGTTAGTATTAACATATATATCATTAATAATAATTTGTGATAGAACATTTTATTAACTGCAATACATTTATATGTCATAGCGAATCGTGTATCCAACACTTACCAAAAGAACTTCAGGTATGCCCTAAGTGTAGTGTCTTTTACCTTTATAACATTCTATAATTATCTACTAAAACATCAGTGCTACCTGAATACTTTGCACCAATTTAATTAATAGTCATATTATTCTTCACAAATTATAAAATGCAAATAAATGTTTCAATCGAGATTTAAGTTATTAGAAAACACGACACCATTTGTTTTATTTTGACTTATAACATTAATTGTTTTGAGTATTTACAAGTTCAAAAGTTCAAAATCTGCTAAGGTATATTTCATACTTACCTTTTAAAGTCTCGTATGAAAGGAAGCTACAGTTTTTGTTTAAGTTATAAATAACGAAACAAAAAAAATCTGTTTAAGTACAACACCTTGTCTTGTTTTTACCTTTTATACTATAAGTAGTTACTAAACAAACAAATGTTATTGTATTTTTTATCATTCGCTTATTTTTTACAATGTTATTATTTACAGTGCAGTGGTAAAGTACTAATAATATGTTTGCATCTCAAATTTT